TCTGGTATCAAGGACTCACAAAACATGGATTCTGGAAACATCACGTGATCGAAGGTTGTTTTTTTTAACTTTAGCAACTGGATTTATCCACTTTTTCGTTACCAGAGCCCTGCAATAAAGTGTTTGACTGCCGAAAACTCGCCGTTTTTCGCGCAGAATTGCATAACAGCATTGCATAACAGCATTGCATAACTTTCTCTCTACTCCATAGCGTGAAAGTAAAATCACACTCGTGATAACTTGCATAGTAATATGAACAAAAACCACTTCATGAGCAAAATTAACTATTCTAAACTTCCTAAATAATTGAAACATTTTAATAATTTTTCTCTATATCAGGAGCTTCGGCCCTTAATGGGATATAATGGGGTAAACAATAAATAAGTAAATAATAAATAAAAATTAAAATGAATAATTGAAGGGATCAGTACAACAAGGGGTATCCCACATTGGAATAGTTTAATGCTCAGAGCTCAGAGTAACTCAGTACATTTTAAAACCTTTAAACACAGCACACTTGCATGTAAGTCCATATTGGATTTCAATTACATATGACACTAAAAGAATAATATTTGAAGTTTTGTGTAATGTTAATAACTCAATTTCACAAAAAAAAATGCGCAATAGTCCCTAGTTCTAATGAGCCCTTCAATTGAAACCATAAAACCCGTGCGCCCCGCCCTCGTCCTTCCCCTTGGGAGCGCTAGGGTTCAAGGTCTCTCCACCTGCTCTCGATTGCGCGCGTCAGGTTCGCGAAGGAGTTGACGAAAACATCGCAAACTTAACACGCGGGCAAAGTGCACACACGTGCGGAGATAAGCACCCGACCTTTACACCACTCTTTCACAACCCACGATCAGATCGAAAAGCAAGGGGGGAACTCGTCATGCGATATCTTCCGAGAAGGATTAAGCGGTGTCTGGCGTTTCTTTGATATTATATTATAACCAGTAAATCTTGATTGAGAAGGTTCACGAAGCAAACTTCATTTCGTGGTTATATAGTCACTAACATAAAAACTCGCTTTACTCGGTCATTTTACTTCAACCTGTTCCTGTACAGAAAATGGACGTTCGCTTTTATGTGGTAGTTTTTTGGTGTCGGAACTGGGTGAAGGAATTTCAACGATTTTACTCTGTTATTTCGCTTTCTGCGGGTAATCGAGATAAAAATATTTTTTCCAGATGTCGGAAAACGCACTGAAGATCAAACAGTGTAACATCGCACCTATTGTAAAAACATATGCAGTGCAAGGAATAAGATGTCATAAGAATATACAAGTATATGACACAGCCCATGAACTTTTCATAGCACAAATCACTTCATAACACAATTCTATAGACTCAATCGTTCTCAAAACCATACAATAGAATAAAACGCTCCACAAACGAGAAACTCTTCCATAAAGTGTGCCTGGAACGTGGTAGTCATACTGAACGTTATCTGTACAAACAAAACATGTTTCATGACTCATGCTTCATGTTTCTGTACAGGTTACATACACCTACGTCCATCCCTTTCACACAACGAGGAAAAAGTATGAAAAAATATTGTAAGTTGCGGGTTTCAGAACATTCGTTAAGTTGCAAATATCGTATTCCATTATCCCAATTTTTTACTTTCTCGCCTAAGATGTACGCACGTAGTAAAGACAAAGAATTTTATGCAGCAGCGAAAGATGGCGATTTTCCGATAGAAAAAAAAACAACTCTTATCTCTGGTACCGAAAAAGTAAATTGTTTCCTGTAATGCAACATTCTGCATTCAAAATTTACGTTTTGTGGATCTGAGAAAGTCGTTTACAGCAAAACGTCTGTCTGTATGTGAACAACATTAGCACCTAAAAATCTTCATACGATTTTTCCAAAACCGATATTCCCCGATCGATCGATTTATTGTTTAGAGATCCCGGGTACGTCAACTACCAGGGTCATTACTCCCGTAAGTGTAATGCATGCTTTTGCTCGGGAGGTGGCTGTGATATTTCCCCCTCTGTATGGCGACAACCGGCCCCGACCTACCGTCACTTAGGTGGGTTTTCCCCAACTAGAAATCTCCCACCATCGGGGCTCCGCCCCTGCCGGGACAAGCTGAAAGCTCCCGACATGTTTGGCAAAGGAGTGCGTTTAAGTGTAAAAATACATTTAAAAATGTGATGATGGTTTTGGCAGAGGTTTGCAACTTCCGAGGTCTCAAGAACCACAACTAAAACCTCTAATGTGGTTGCGAGCTACACTTACTTTACTCAGGCGATCCGCACCTCAATTCCCCGTGTTGGTGACCTCGCCAGTGTGCAAGGCCGAGGGGGAGGGGAGGGAAACATGATATCAGGACTACTATTCATAACACAGGGAAACACATCGGGATGATTTTCAATTTCTGAATTTACTAGGGAAAAACGTCTTCAATTTAAACTTGCCTATTTTTACTTTAGCTACTGATTACGAGGTAGAGAAAAGTTCTGTAATGCTGCGCGAAAGAACGGAGAATTTTCGACATACAAACTCTCAATACAGCGCCCTAGTAAAGAAGTGGATAAATTAAGTTGTTAAATTTAGAAACAAAAATCATGTATCACGTGGTGTAGCCGGAATCCATGTTTTGTGCGTCCTTCATACCGAAAAATCGATTGACGGCAAAACGTTTCTGTCTGTGCCCAACGCTAGCAGCTAAACCGTTCAGCCGCTTTTCTCCAAAATTGATACTTCCCAATTGATCTGGCTCATGTCACGATCCCTTCAATTTGAAACCGATATTTTAATTTTGGGGGCTACTTTACATGAAATCCCTGGGACGTTTCCCAAATTTTCAAACAAATGACTCCATCGTTTTTTATTAAATTTTGCAGTTGCATAGTGTGAAGAACGTTTAAGAGAATGGTGCAGGTATAATTTTCATTAAAAACTCTGATTTCTCAAAAATTGCGAAAGTTGAAACTTTTTTCCGCATCTTCCTACAATCATGAAGATACAGATTTTTCCCTTAAAGAAATGTGTTCCTTAAAGATAGATTTTTAAATAAGATCACATGCAATGTTTCGTAACTTTGAGTACTTTTCGCGTAATTTTGCGAGAACGTATGTGCTGTTCTAGAACCACTAGTTATATTAAAGCGGGCTGTTTTCCGTGACAAAGCGCGAGCGCTAGGCACACACAAGGTTCTCTCTCGACCTGCGCGTTTTGACCAACAACCTTTCATGGTCCGGAATAAGTAGCACCGCGGGGCGCCAGTTGGACAGTCCCGGTTTAGGCACGTGGCTGCATTTAAAATTCGCGCTAAAATTGTGACTGATGCAAACTGGAGCGTGGAGCGCCCCCACGGCGGCTCGAAGGCGGATGCAGATAGCGGCGGCTCGCGGCGGCGTACTGTCTGTTATTACGCGCAGATAACCCTCGTGACGGCGTCAGAAAACACGCGAACGGTGACGGTGCTGAAACGCTGTCCGGAACGCAAGCCAACCATGACCACAGCAGGATCTGTTGCAACTATTTACTTATTCAATTTTTTTTACGCATTTTTTCTCTCTCAATTCAAACATTGGTTATATTGTACAAAAGATGTTTTAGATAACACAAAAGACAGATAAAATTATTATTATTATTATTATTATTATTATTATTATTATTATTATTATCAGTGTCATTCAGGACTTTTTTTCTGTGGTTGTCTCTATGTGTGTGTGTGTGTGTGGGGGGGGGGTTAATGTCCAGCCTACGTGATGTTTTCTTAAAAAAGATTTTTCATTTAAGCTAAAAGGAATCTGTATTTTTATTTATTTGCTTCTAGTTATTATTTATAACAATAACAATTGGTATATTGTATGCATTTCGTGAGTGCATACAATGGAATTGCATAAATGATTCCGGGGACATATGTGCATAGACTGAAAAAAGAAATTTATCCAAAAAATCCTTTCTACAGGAATCTATGATTGCGAGGCAAAATAATTATTTATTGGCGATATTATAAGGTACGCATGTTTCTTTTCGATTGAACTGACCAATCCTGTATTATTTCGAGGTTAAATGTATCGAAATTCAAATGATCTCATTTCGACTTTTCGACGTTCCATTTAAGGAAGATCAAGATGTCGAGGTTCGTTTTATGAAGGTTCGATTAATACGAATTTCAAATTATGAATGTTCGAATTATCTCGCTTTTTGATTGATAGATTAGCGTTGCCAGCCGCGTCAACCGCTAAGGGCATTAGTTCCGCACGTGTTGTGCCATTTTTTTTTCTTTTTTTTTCGAGGACGGAGGCGGTGATATCCACTCGCTGGATGGCGAGATCCCTCAGCAACTAACGCGTTCGCTTGCAACATTTCCCTAACCAGGTATCTCCCACCAGCGGGGAGCCGCTTCGGTCGGGATAAGTCCTACTCTCCTGATTGGCTTCCGAGTCAGTGTGAGTGTATGTCAGGAGGATTGAACGAAAGGAAAGATCGCGCACGGTCCGTGGCCCGTTTGTGAGGCTACTACTACTTCGGAATTTGCTGGATGTCGATCAGTTACAGAATTTAGAAAAAAAACCTCTAACACGCGGTGAAGCCAAAATCTTTGTTTTGTGGGTCCTTGGTACTAAAATATCGAATGGCGGCAAAACGTCTGTCTGTCTGTCTGTGAACAAGACTATCGGTAAACCTTTCAGTAGATTTTCTTCAACACTGATATTCCGCAATCGATCTGATTGATGTCGCAAACCCTTGAATTTGAAACATTTTTTTTTAATTTTGAGGGGTACTTTACATGCTGTTAGGACATTTTTAAAAGTTTCAAAAAAAAGTCTCCATTGTTTTTATTTAATTTTTTTGTTAGATAGTACGAAGGACGTTTAAGAGAATGGTGCAGATTTCATATTCGGTAATAACCCGAATTTTTCGAAAATAGAAAAAGTTGATAATTTTCTTCCTACAACTAAAATATTAAAGATAGATATTGTTCGCTTAAAGAAATCTGTTTTTGGAAGATGTGAGTGTGAGCCGTGCTAACGCGTGTTGCAGACGTGCGCCGTGTCGAAGCGCTCGCTGTCGTACGCGCAGGTGCGCGAGGCGTCGCGACGCTGGGCGCTGGCGCTGGCCTCGCAGCTCCGCCTCCGCCCGGGCCACGTGGTGGCCCTGCTGCTGCCCAACATGCCCGAGTACCTGCCCGCCATCCAGGTGAGCACGTTCATCAGGTATACTTAGATTTCAAAGCACATTATAACGTTTATGTGTCATGCCTATTAACAATTTCACTTCTCTGTCACAAAGCAAGAAATGTTACAAAAATTGATTCTAATCCCTGGTACGCCTGCCCGTAACTTGCAAATGTCTGCATTTTTACTTTCTCGTCGATCGTAATAAGAGAAAGTTTGGTAATCGTGTGCAGGAAAACAGCGACTTTTGGCAGAAAAACTCTTATCTTGTAAATAAAAGGTATATATATATATATA